ATATATATTGACTTTGTATGTTTTTAGGAAATTATTTTTTCAAATATCACTGTTTCAAACACGATAACTAATGTGAACCAATCAAAATAAAAAAATGATATATGTTCACTTTCTCCTTGCAGTCATAGATATGGCTATGACAACGAGTCTCCTCCAACTCCAAGCAACCCTCGTACTTTCTCCATTAATTGTCAACCCTAAAGATGCTTGCTTATTTCAATTAGAGCAAATAAACAAATCAGTTGTTTGTTCAGTTAGGTAAAAAATGTCTATCAAAAAATAAAATATTTTTGTAAAACTTCAATCAAATGAAGATGATTGAAATTAATTAAAGGGTGTTATACAACAAGTTGTGGGATTAAAAGTTTAAACACCCCAGGCAGCCCACACTATTTATTCTCGTTTTCTACTCTACTCCCCAAAAAAGAAAAAAAAGAGTATTTGATATCTTCAAAAATTCTTTTGTTCCTTCTTCACCGTACTAACCGGGCGCATAGTCGCTCTGGGGCGATTTATTTCAAGGTCGTTCGACAAGAACCACTGCTTATTCACACTGTTGAAAAAGAAGAAAAACTTCTCATGGACTCCTGAATATTAACGAGCTCTGGAGGAGCTCAAAAGATACTTATCGAGCCTACCGCTGCTTCACACACCAAAGACAGACAAACAACTGTACTTGTACTTGGCGGTCTCAGAGATAGCGGTAAGTGAGGTCCTAGTTCGGGAGGAACGAGGTACGCAATTTCCGATTTATTATGTTGGTAGGACCTTAGGTGAGGCCGAAACTAGATATCCTCACCTACAAAAACTAACGCTCGCCTTGCTAAGCACCTCCAGGAAACTAAAACCATACTTCGATTGTCACCCCATATGTGTCGTAACAACTTACCCATTAAGGAACGTGATGCATAAGCCCGAACTCTCGGGCCGATTGGCCAAATGGGCCGTGGAAGTAAGTGGTTACGATATTGAGTAGCGGGCCCGGACCGCTACTAAGTCCCAAATTTTGTCTGACTTCGTGGCCGACTTTACGCCGACCTTAATACCCGAAGTCGAAAAAGAGTTACTGATTAACTCGGGAACTTCCTCGAGAATATGGACCCTCTTTACGAACGACGCTTCAAACGTAAAAGGGTCCGGTCTTGGCATCGTACTAAAGCCACCAACATGTAAAATAATTAGGCAATCTATTAAGATTGTGAAATTGACTAATAACGAGGCCGAATATGAGGCCATGATTACAGGCCTTGAATTAGCCAAAAGCTTGGGGCAGAGGTGATAGAAGCCAAGTGCAACTCACTCCTTTTGGTAAACCAAGTTAATGGTACATTCGAGGTCAGGGAAGAACGAATGCAGAGATACTTGGACAAGTTACAGGTGACATTATATCGGTTCAAAGAATGGACTTTGTAACATATACCTCAGGATCAAAACAGCGAAGTTGATGCCCTCGCTAACTTGGGATCGTCGGTTGAAGACAGCTAGATTAACTCGGGAGAAATTGTACAGCTTATAAGATCGGTGGTGGAACAAGGCCACACCGAAATCAACTCAACGAGCCTAACTTGGGACTGGATAAATAAGTACATGGAATATCTCAAGACCGGAAAACTTCCCTTGGACCCAAAGGAATCGAGGGCCCTGCGAACGAAGTCATCCCGGTTTAGTTTTCCGAGGATGGAACCTTAGTCAGAAGAACGTTCAATGGCCCGATCGCGATATGTTTGGGACCAGGAGACACCGAATACGTTTTGAGGAAAATCCACGAAGGTACATCACTGATTCAAAAAATAATCAGAGCCGGTTACTACTGGATCGATATGGAAAAAGACGCGAATGAGTTAGTTCGAAAATGCGATGGATGCCAAAATTATGCTCCGATGATTCATCGAGAAGAAGAGCCGCTACATTCGGTCTTGTCACCTAATTACAACAACGGGAGTCGAATCTTATTGACTACTGGGGAAACAGAGGTAGCGAAGTATGCAAATCCTAGTAGCCCTCATGAGATGCATCTCTTGGATTTAGATAACAGTTGGAAGTTACTTCGTGGTAAGGTATTTGGACCAGAACATGATCATCCTCCAGAGTTGGAAGAAATTGGAAAGAAAATAGTAGAAAAATGCCAAGGACTACCCTTAACAGTTTCAGTGATCGCGGGACATCTTTCTAAAATCACCAGGACAAATAAAAGTTGGAAGGATGTTGCCCGAACCTTAGGTGAAATTATTTCTAGTCATCCAAATAAATGCTTAGAAGTGCTCGGTTTGAGTTACCACCACTTACCTAATCACCTCAAACCTTGCTTTCTTTCTATGGGTGGTTTCCCAGAGGATTATCAGGTTGAGACTTGGAGATTGATCCAATTATGGATTGCGGAAGGTTTTTTAAGGACATCCAAAAGTGGTAAAAGTTTGGAGGAAGTAGCAGAAGATTATTTGGTGGATTTTATTAGCAGGAACTTGATCATGGTAAGAAAAAGTAGATTCAATGGTAAGATAAAAGCATGTGGAATACATGATCTTCTTCGTGAATTCTGTTTGACTGAAGTTGAGATAACAAAGTTTATGCGTGTTGAGAGAATTGACCCAGTCCCTACTCTTCCAACACAAAAACATAATGGTCATCGCTTCAGTTTTCAAACTCGAAGTTATTCAGTTGGTGATTCTTGCAAGCTATTACCCCCAGTTACCAAATCTATCTACTTATTTTCTGAAAGACGACTTTATTTAAAACTTGATTTTTTCTCCCGTTTCAGCCTTCTCAGGGTATTGGCCATCTTCGATCAAAAGTTCCGTTCATTTCCGCTTGTGATTACAAAGTTATTTCATTTGAGATATCTCCAAGTTCAATCTTACAACAATCTTCCTCCATCAATATCAGAGCTTCATAATTTGCAAACTCTAATTTATGAGGGACAAGATTATAAACATACAACTTTACCCGGAAAGATATGGATGATGAATAACTTGAGGCATATACATCTGAGTCGAGCCTGTTATTTACCTAGTCCTAGAAGAGAAAGTATTCTAAATAAGTATCTTGTGATAGGAATGCCAAATCTAGAAGAACTTTCTAATCTCTGTTTCACCAGTTGTACAAATGAAAACTTTTCTATCATTCCCAATCTAAAGAGATTGATCGTCCATCATATAGGTTCATCAAGAAGAAAGAATAGGGCTAATCACCTCATTGATATGTCTAGCTTGACAAAACTCAAAGCATTGAAGTGTGTCAGCAATGCTTCTTGGTCTTGGCGATCGACCTCTATCAAGAGGTTTGTTTTTCCAACATCACTTAAGAGGCTGACTTTAGCTGGTGGGTTTTGTTTTTCTTGGGAAGACATATCAACTCTTGTCATGTTGCCAAATCTTGAAGAGCTCAAACTTAAAAGGAATGCAGTGAGTGATCCAATATGGAGATTAAGTGATGAAGACAAGTTCGAAAGCCTAAAGTTATTGTTACTTAGTGAGCTAGAATTTGGGCATTGGGAAGCTAGCAGCGAAAGCTTCCCAAGTCTAAAACGCCTTGTTATGAGGAATTGCATCAACCTGAAAGAAATTCCAACAGATTTTGGGGAAATTTGTACTTTGGAGTCAATTGAGTTACATAATTGCAGCACTGTTGTTGAGGGATGTGCAAGAAATATTGAACAAGAACATGAGGACATGGGAAATAATTTCCTTAAGGTCTACATCTATAACAATCGCAGTAAGTTTTACATCTCTCTTATAAATTCTTCAATTTTTCCCATAATTAATTAATTACCTCATCTTTGTTAAATTTTGCTTACCTCCTTGAAATTAAAATGATGACTTCTACTTTTTACCTTGCATATATGCAGGGAATTATAGCTTATTTTGAGGGACAATCTAACGCTATCTCCCAAATGCAGAACCTTTTCAATTAGATTTTGAAGAGTAGAATCTTTCTTTTATATCCTTATCAGTAGTTAAATTTATATTTTTGGGAATAAGCATGTTTAAATGTCTCGCTCATTTGTGGTTTAGTATTTTGTAAAGAATATAATTATTGATGTATTATAATACTCCCTCCGTTCACTTTTAGTTGTTCGCCTTTGATTTTGCACTTTCTTTAAGAAAAATAAATGAAGTAGATATTTTACTATTTTATCCATAATAAGGTTTACCCGTAAAATGGTACAGTTGAATTTATAGTATTTTTTATGACAAGCGAATCGATTAGATCCCAAAATAATAAATAAATTAAATAAAATGCAAGACTTAGCGTTAAAATCGAGATTAAATAGCAAATAACTTGGTTCCGGGGGCAAGGCTTCCGAAAACAGTAATAAGGATATTGTTAGACAAAAAAATAAAGTATTATTTAGCTTGGAATAGTGTGTAGCATAAGTTTGTCAGAATTTTCGTGTGTTACAATGGTTGTTGAAGCCACTATTTATAACTATAACTAAGGAACAAGGTCCTAGGATCAACCCCTCTTAAATGACAATAGTGGGGTCATTGATGAATATGTAATGACAGGCCATGAATTCAAAAATTCTCTGCAACGATTGTGTTATTTAATACTGAGGAATATTCTTCATTAATTGTGACAAACATTCATTTGCTTCCGTTGACTGTGTTCCCTTTGGGATCTTCCCAGTGCCAACTGAAGCTGTTATCCTCGGACCTGATTTCTACTCGCTTCATCTTCCATCTGTCTTCGATTCTACGTATCGCGCTATCATACGATCATTTAATATAAATTAATTTTACCCTATACAGATATACTTCCTGCTTTCCGGTGGCACATCTTTGTGTCACCAGAAAGTTGGTGAAGATTTCTTTCTTGGCGGGATATTTTCTGAACCCTTCTAAAAAGTTTCTGACGCTTGATAAGACGCACGTCTTCTCGCATTTAATACTCCGAACACATGTTAGTCCACGATTTAACAATATTTTTGCCGGTTCTCGAGGTAATCGTAGCCACGATTTTAGCCACCTAATCCTTTACTTATACGCCTCATTCTTCTTTTTTACACTTAACAGTTCCATAAACTCTCTCAACTTCTTTGCATTCAACTCTTTCTGCTTTCATCTTTATTTAATCCTTTTCAAATACTCTTATCACTTTATGCTGATTATGGCTTCTTTCATTAATTCTTTCAAGAACTCCGATCTTCTCTTCAGTGAGGGCCCAAAGAGGAGCAAAGAAAAAGAGGTCGATGTTGATGCTGACCCTCCTAAGATGAGCACCATCATCTCCAATCATCTCAACACAACCAATGATTTCGAAGAGAAGTTCCCTTCTTCAAACTCTCGCACCTGGGCTGTTGGCAAATTCCCTTCTTCTATTCATCCTTTTAGTATTCCTGCTGTAAAGGAGGACTGTGATTTCCACGACCTAAACATCATTGCTCTCGATCTTGTGGAGAAAGCAACCTTCACTAAGAAGGGCTGCATGTACGTTTACACGTACCCCTTTAGTTTGGGTGCGTATTCTTTAAGCGAGGGACTTGACCCTGTGATTTTGGAGTTGTGCCACCGGTATCTGATTTGTTTGGCACATGTGGGCCCTTCGGTGTGGCGAACAATGGCTTGTATGCTGCGGTTGTGCCAGGAAACGAAAGAGGACCTCACTTTGGCTCATATGATGAACCTTTACTCTCCCAAGATTTTTCGTGGAGGAATAATAAATTTTAGCAAGCGTGGCCTCCATGCTTTGCTCATCAACATGGATGACGACAATGACCATGGGTGGATGGAGCGGTTTGTCATTGTTGCCACCAGGGATATCATCCCGGCCACAACTTCTTCCTTCCCTGAGTCCTGAACTCGCTCTCATAAGTTCAAAGTCTATCTCTTTCTTCTGAAAAAGGTTGTTTCATGCCATTACTGATCATTATCCTTTCATTATTTCAGCAACTCGGTGGACACCTCTAAGGGTTGAAGGCTTGGATCGGTGGGTTCAGAAGATTCTGGACATGCCCATACCCGAAACTGCCGGTGGAAGGAATTGGCCCTCAAATATGGATGGAGAGCCAAAAACCATGGTAAACGGACTCGTAAAACTGACTCTGCCTTCATTTCATCTGTGTATATAAGAAAATTGGTTAACCTCACCTTTTTGCTAGATTCAGGTCTCCTGCAGGGTTCTGTTTCCATCCTTGAGGATGACGTTTTGGTTGATCACGTAAAGGCTGCGAGGTTTTTGAAGAAGGCTCTCACCCGAACGGTGCCATTGGATCCGTTTTCGGTGCTAGAGCTTCCTCTCGGAGTCCCCGGACAGAGAACAAGCAACAAAAAAGGCGGCGTTCTTCCTCGGCTGAGGGTAAGAATAAAAAGTGAAGAAAGTCGCACCTGAGCCAGCCGCAACCACTATGGTTATTGACGATGATGGGGAAGCCAGTGATGAAGGAGCTTCCATACAAAGAAGACAACGACCTTCATCAGCTCAACTGAATGCTCAGTCTGAAGAGCTTATATCCCCAATCGAGGATGATGCCCGAGCGTTCTAGGGAGAATTTGACTTAGTGGAGGGTGCCAATTCTCCCTTTCCGGTCCCAGTTGTTACTCCCAGTACTATGGGGTTGAGTACCGAGCCTCTTCCACCTTCGGTTGGTGAGCAACCAACAAACAACACAGCCTCTGCCGCAACTGCTTCATAACCTAAAACACTATCAGCTTCATCTCCTTCCACAGCGGCCATACCTTTATCACCAGCAACTGCTACATCACCCCTAATGACTGCAGACGTTCGATAGGAGGATATCCCTCCTCCCCAGTCCCAAGACCAAGGGAATTTAGGGCACAACTACTCGCCCCATTATGCGGATCCCGAGAGAAGGAGGAATGTCTCTCTCTTAGTGTCTACTGAGTGCCATGTGCTGTCCCGGCCGGTTGAAATCGCCAATTATCTGAAGCCGCTGGCTTCAGAAAAGGATAAGAAGAAAATACACTCTCTTTCGGGAGAGTGTTAAATAATGCCATGCACAATATGGCAGTGGTATCGAACTTACTCTTTTATTGCTTGTTCTTTCTTCATTTTTTGTGGCACGGTTTCTAACTTTGGTATTTGATTTGCAAGCCAACTTCCTTGCTTCTGAGGGCCTTCAAAAATTGATCCTTGATAAAAAAGGACTCAAGTCCGAGCGTGATCAAATGTTAGCCGAGAGGGACCAAATTATTGCTCGCCTCCCGATGCTGGAAGCAAAAGCTGATGAGGCAAGTGAGTTAGAAACTCGGTTGCAACAAAGTGAGCAGGAAGTGATGGCCCTCAGCCAAGAAGCCTCTTAGCTAAATGTACAGTTTCAAGAAGTTAAGGCTAAATGGGTTGAGGTTCAATATGTTGTGCTCGTTGCTGCCGAATGTGAATCTTCCTCCATTGAGAGAGTGAATAACTTGGAGGAAACCTTGAACTCCAAAGCTGAAGAGGCTGCTACTGCTAAGGAGAAGCGTGCCTAGATGGAGAATAGGTATAAGAAGATCATGGAACATAATATGGTTCATATAACCACTATCTGTGATCTTGATCTTAACATTAGCACCACGAGATCCGAGCGGGATGACCTTCTGACCGAGGTTGATAGGCTTTAATCAGACCTTTAGCGCCGAGCGGATTCCCTCATCATTGAAAAAACACATTCTATGTATAATATGAGGAGGAAACACTTGGATTCAACTGCTCGAGAATGCCTCCCGACTCAGCCTAATGCAACTGACTCCTCTAGTTCCGATTTTGAGTTTTCAAGAACCGAAGAGGAACTTGAAGAGAATAACAATGAAGGCCAAGATTCTAAGTCGATGACAGATCCGCCTACTTCTCCCGGGGGAGCTAATGCTTCTCTTCCCCCGAGTTCTGGTGGCGATGTAGTTTAGCTTTTTGCTTTCTTTCCTTTTGTTGTTTTCCTTTTGTATTTTTGTACTTGTGCTTCTTGGCATGTTTGATAAATAAAAGTGATTTTTGTTTAAGCATTGTGCAAAGTTTATTCTTTTTGCGTCGAATTATGCAAGGCTCCGGGTGCATTTTTCTCTGATAGCATTTGGGTTCGGGCATAAACTCTTCCAAAACCAACCCTTTACTGGGAGAGTTTCATAAGAGAGGGCCCTCTTATGTTTACGGTGTTCTTGAAGAGGATGTCTCCTATTCATTTCGGCACTAGAATTTGAAGTACTTGGTTAACTTTCAAATGATAAAATCAATTTATCGTTTAGACAAGAAACAAGATAAAATGAAGGGATTTTATTTTTCCTTCTATCATCAAAAGTACATAAGCATTCGTTTTGCTGAAAGTAAAGAAATTGCCATTACATGAGGCCAATTTGTACAACTTGTTTCTATGGGATTGACTGTGCAGTCCCCAGTCCTGATGAGACATTTTTGTTCCCGGATCTCGTAGTCCCGATTTTCGTAGCAATCAGGTTGTCGTATTCTCATACTATTCCCCTCCTAGTGTTCGAATGTGAAGAATGCAAATTAGAACACTGGAAGTCTTGCTCCTTTAAGGAAAAATACTAGTGAATGGTTGGATAATCTTTGGTTCGATAGCAAGCTTCATTTCCCGTTAGGAACTTTGCTATCGAGCAAAAGATTATTCAACCACCCCTTAGTGGCTTGTAGGAAAGAGCACTCGTGAACGGTTGACTAGCCTTTAGTACGATGGCAAGTTTTGCTTCCCGTTAGGAATTTTTTATTGAGCCAAATACTATCTAACCAGCCCGCAGTGGTTTGTTGTTTCAATGCCTTGTTATTTAAAGATCTTATCTCTGTTGATAACTTTCCCTTCGTAGTATGCATTCCATTGTTGACTCATTAAAAATCTCTCCAGAAATACCCATTTGGGACAAAAACTAGGCAAAGGGAAAAAGAGTGCAACACATACTTTTAGTACAAGTGGTGACCATCAACAGTAATACCTTTTGAGCCGAGTCACATTCAGGTTGCTCGGCAATTTGACTCCATCTTGGTTTTCTAGTTTGTATGATCCATTTCCGATGACAACTGAAACTCGGTAGGGGCCTTCTTATGTTGGGCCCATCTTTCCTGCGTTGAGCTTCCGGGTGTTTTGAGACACTTTCCTTAAA